TTTGTGCGTACGGAACTTTCACTCAGGTCTGTGCGTCCTGGAGGGAACACGGCGTCCAGCTAAGCTCACGGGGTCTCAGAGGGTCAGACGACTGACGGCAGCAGGTGGAGGAAGAGACGCCGTCAGTGACTGAAACTGAAACACAGCAGGAGCACACACACGTCTGAAAACAGGGAAATACCTGAAAAATATTATTTAATATCTAAAATAATGGCAGGAAATATACAAAATAATACCCAGAAAATACCTTTTAAAAATCAGTAAAATGTCTAAATAATATCATTAAAATATTCAAAAAATATCTGTAGATATATCAAATAATATCAGTAAAAAAAATACAAAATTATAGAAAAACTTTTATAATAAAACAGAACAAAAATATAAATATTATTAATAAATAATACAAATAATATAAATATTAGTACAATAGTACAATATATATGTTAAGTATAATATTCATTGTTTAGTTATTCTGGTTCTGCATCGTCTGTATTCTGGAACCAGAGGACATAACATTATAACAAACGCCCTATTTTATGATCTTTTAATTAAGATGTTTTCCTGATTGAGGTTCCAGTAACTTCGGACTGGAGACCCGTCTGTTAACTGCACCTCCGCCACCTCCCCCAGCATCCTGCCGTCTGATTGGTGGAGCCGTGGATGGTTATTGTTCCCAGCTGTACGTCTACATGCTGCATCCATGTTCTGTCTCCTCACTGTGAACTGTTTCTGCCGAGTCACGGTTGCATAAGACTTTGGTTTGACTTAAAGAGACATTTAATGTGCGACCATGAAGGAAATGATCCAGACTCTGTTATGTAACACCTGATGCAGCTGAAAACATCTGGAAATCACCAGTTTTACCTGAAAGTTCGGTCTGGTGCACAATCACTGCGTCAACTAAAGCTTCATATGTTATTGTTTTAATGTATTGATCACTGATTTATATGTGTTTCCATGTCGGGATGAGGGTCAGATTTTCAGTTTTCCCTACAGTGTGCAACACTAGCTTCATGCAGACTCCCAGGGATGATCTGGCCTTAATAGAAAAATTCACTAAAGACAACAATATTAAAAAGATTTTAATTTGTTTGTAACCTGCTGATAAACGTCCTCAAATTTAAATAAATCTGTTTTAAACTCAATCATTTTGTCCGGAATAAACTTCCGTATTGATCTCCTCCGCAGACATCATGAGCAAGCGGCCAAAGATCCACGTCTTCCTGGGGGCTCCTCCTCCCTCCTCTGGCCCAGCCTTGGTGTCCGGTTCTGGGGTGAACAGCGGGGAGCATCCCCCTGTCGACTGGAGACACCTGGAGCTCACCTGGCAGGATGGACATCTGAGGCCGGCAACAGGTGAGGCGTTCAGGGACAACAGGAAGCTAAGAGTGTTACATTTAAACTGTTAATAGATTAATTTCTGTTTATCAGATTTGAACCACAAACTTTAATTAAATGAACCAGTTTTAGTTGAATTTATTTATGGTATTTAGTTTATTTCAGAATGTCAGCTTTATTAGTGTGTTATCTTCTGTTATGTTCACAGTTTTTGTGATTTTTAATGTCAATATTTTATATTTTTGTTTTGTTTCATATTCCGTATAACATATATTTCACCCACTGTGTCTGTGTGCTGCTGCAATTGTGAATTATTAATTTATACCCACCGTTAATCCTGGCTGTCAAACATTTATTCTCTTGTGATTTATATACTAATACTAAATACTAAAATATAGGAAAATATACTGTATTTTGCTAGCTATTTCCTTCTGTAGTTATGCTAAGCTAAGCTAACTGCTGCTATTAGTAACTTCAGATTTACAGTACAGACATGAGATTTTAACTTTTAATGTATTATGTTATTGACTATTTAAACTCTCATTGATCATTTGAATCATTTGCGAATCTTTCAGACGAGGGTGAAAGGACCAGGATGGAGGACGAGAAAGCTGATCCCGGGAAGGAAGATCAGTGTTCGGCTTCAGTTCATGAGTATCTGGACGGCTGTTTCCCTGCAGAACCAGAACAACCAGAACCTGCAGCAGCCGTCCCTCCTCTGTCGGCCCAGACTCAGTACCTCACCACCTGGACTCTGAGTCAGGCTTTAATCCTGCGAGGCAGACGTGGCGTCCAATCAGCAACCAGCCCTGAGAAAACCCCACCTCCTCACACCCCGCCCTCCGTCTCCTCCAGCACGCCGGAGCTCTTCAGCCCCATAACGCCGTCGCCGGGAGCCTCCGCGGAGCTCTTCAGCCCGACTCTGAGGGCGGAGGAAGGGGGCGTCGTGGTTGAGACCACCGCAGACGGGCTGCTCTGCTCCCAGGATGCTGAGCAACACGAGTCCAAAAGCTCCCCCGATTTCAAGAGAGCCCGAATCCCAGAAAACCTCAGGACTGAAGAGTCTGTAGTGCCGTCGGACGGCGCCACTGCCGGGCCCCGGGGTGCCACCACACTCCTGACCCGGTGTGACAAGCTGGGAACGCGGTACTCGGTTCTGGTGGCGGTGGTTCACCCCTGTCACCTGAAGGAGGTCAAGGTGGGTGGAGACGTTACGATAAATCCAACGTCCATTCAGATGGATGCTAACATATTCAATTCAGTTCAGTTTGTTGGTATAGCGTCAATTCATTCATAACAAGAAGTTATCTCAGGACACTTTTCAAATAGCGCAGGTCTAGCTCATAAACACTTATGCTAAGCTAAGCTAACTGGATGTCTGGTAGTAACTGTGATTACAGTCACTGTGCAATTGAGACAAACAATGTTATTATTATATTGTCATATCAATGTACTGTTGGCTTTAAGGTGAAGTCCGGGCCGGCGGCAGGAACCTTCGTACCTCTGGCGTCCATCGTGGTGACGGACCAATCAGGTGTTGAGATGAAGGTGGTGCTGTGGCGGCGAGCAGCTTTCTGGGCGTTGACAGTCAGTCCTGGAGACGTTCTGCTCATCACAGGTACGAGAATATCTTCTCTCTGCTCCTTTAAATGGAGGTTTTAAGGAACCAGAGGTGACCGTATTTAGATGAGAGGGCTCCTGATGACCGCAGGGTTCGTTGTGTTGATGCTGTCTCTGATCAGGACTGCAGCTGAATGAAGACAGGTGGAGAGGAGAGACGGTGCTGCAGTCGACCTTCAGCAGCAAACTGCTCAACCTGGGACAGATCGCCTCCTCCTCCTCGCCACCAGGTACTGAACCCAGACTGCAACCAATCAGCAGGCTCCTCAGCTGAGCGTTAAAGAGAGTCTCTCTCTCCTCTTCCTCTCTCTCTCTTCAGTCCCTCAGCACGTTGATGCTCGCTCTCTCAGCTCTCTGAGTGGCTTTCTTCGGGAGCGGCGCCCCCTGCTGGTGTCTTTGAACCTCCACCCCCCCCAGGACCCGAACCGCCTCCCTTACGCCACTCTGAGGTCATTGAAGGGCAACACGCTGGTTCACGCTTTGCTGCGTGTCACACACACGCACATGAGCACAGGTGAGTGGGTCAGGTGACATTAAGACATCCAGATGTATCAACGAGTTTAACTGAATTTCGAGCGATTCAGCAAAATAAAGTGTGATTGAACCATTGACTGTAAATATAACAGAGCTTCCAGGAAGTGTCAAGTGCATTCTGTGTAACGTCCAGCAGGGGGAGCTCCACTGGCTGCAATAACACACTGATACCATTCAGTCTAATGGAGAATGAGCCACCTTTATTCATTATCTCAGTAAACAGTTTCCTGATAAGTTTATGGTCTCAGTCTCTAGTTTCAGTCTTCTTCCATACAGAATGATGTTCATCATCCACTTAAACACACTACAAACTCACAAAAAAATACAAAACACACGAAAGTTACACACAAAAAAACCACTGAAAATGCATGAAAAACATTTTAAAAATCATAAAAAATACAGAAAAACGCAATATTAAGACTAAAAAAGCGGGAAAATTACACAAAAAGATACATTGCAACTTAGCTGAGAAACACACTGGTCCTTTAAACAGTTTGTGATTAATAACAGTGTCATCAGCATAGAAACAGACATTTTAACCAACACTGTTTATATAAAAACAGAATAGTCTAATGCTGCAGCTTCTTCACAGCACGGCAACACCAAACACGGATGACGATATGTTGCTATGGTGATGTCGTATAGGACAAATGGAATAAAATATATTAAACTTTTGAACATTCATTTAGGTCATTTATTGATTATTAGCCCCCCAGATTGTTCATGTTTTCTCCTCGTGTGAGGCAGCTACGTAACATCCGGTGTTTTCTACCGGCCTCACCTGAGTTTACCGCCCTGCTCTCATCCACTAATCCACTACTTTCTGTCTATGATTCTGTATGAAAGCAGCATAATAATTGATCCCTGTGGAACACCACCGGGTACTGAAACGTGTATTATTGATTCTGAGTCTAAATGAAATGTTTGGGTGTCAGCGTGGCGGAGTGAGGCGGAGTCTCGCTGCAGGTCGGCTGTTCAGCTGAAGGCCGTTCTGACTGTGGAGCAACTGGACGGTCAGCAGGGGGCGCTGCTGCTGTGGGGAGCAGCTGTGGACTGGCTGCCTCGCTTTAACCGGGACAGAGGCACACACACACACACAGAGGAAGTATATGTATGTAGACACAAACCTTAAAGCGAACCTCTGTGTCTGTCAGCGGCTGTGTGGGACTTCCGTGTCCTCCTGGTGAGGGACGGTTTGACCACCGACCTCCCAGAGCTGCACTCCACCCCCTGGAGCTCCGTCCGGCCTTTGGACCCCGCCAGCCGCCGAGCACAGGACTTCCTCCGACCGCAATCCGTTTGGACAGGAGACATTCTGGAGCTGGACCTCGACACGCTGCTGTCCCAGAGATACAGCGGTGAGTGTCACTGGGTCCAGAGCTGGTTCAGGATCTAATTTAACACTGGTTGGGACCCCCAGGACACACGCTTTTATTTGAACTAGTATAGTACCTAAATCCCCCCCCTGAGGCACCTGTGCAGGTAAATCAAAGCTGCTCTCCTCTACCAGGTGACGTGGAGCTCAGAGTCCAGGTCACCGCCTTCCACTTCCAGAACTCTCTGCCTTCCCAGAATGCACTGCAGCCGTTCCTGTACAGCGCCACCCCGTTGGACGGTATTCTGGCGGCACTGAGCGGCGACATCACCTACACCGGCTGCGGCCGCTGCTCCACCGAGCTCGACTCCGACGCCAACAGCATCTACGGCCCCTGCTACCCCTGCCTGCCGCACACTGTCGTCCGCCGCTACTACAGGTACAACGGACGCCATATATATATATATATATATATTATAATATATAATAAATATGTTATATATGTTATAGTACATTATTATCTGATATTATATATTATATTTATTACATTATATAATGATGTATTATGTGTGTGTCTTTCAGGCCAGGTGTGCTGACAGTGAGTGGGCAGGGCAGCACTCAGGGTGGTGTTTCAGGTTCCTCCGGTTCCACTGCAGAAGATTCTCGGAAGCTCCGCCTGATAAACCTCCACAGGAGCTCAGGTAAAAGTACTAAAGTACTCTATTACTGTAGTAAAAGTACTAATACTCAGTAAAATTACTAAAAGTAGTCTTTTACTGTAGTAAAAGTACTAAAGTAATCTGTTACTGCAGTGACAGTATAATGAGTATAAGGTAATATTAAACTGTAATATCATCAGATTATTCTGACATTAATGTAATTTTACTAATTTATTGATTATTATAATCATTATTCATTTATCAGCTGATTAAATTACCCAGAATCCAAAGTGCAGCTTGCTTTTTAAATCAGATTCATTTGTTTTCTTTCCAAACAATAAGTTATTTTGTCTTTGATCTATTTTATCTCAATTATGTATTGATTGTTTCATATTTTATAGACTCTTTGCTGTCAGATTAATGTAATTAAAGCTTCAGGAGTAAAATACTCGAGTAAAAGACACAATGAAACAGAAACACTATGGTCGCCATCTGCTGGTTGCAACTCGAAAAGAAGAAATATTAATTTAATAACTGATTACAGATCAATAACTGGTGCTGCTTGACAGTATTGATCTGTTTTAACTGCATTCTATTTTATGATTGATTACATGTTTACAGCAACAACAACAAACTTAGTCTTTATGGATGTATTGATCAGGTATACACTGCATCTTTATTGATTATTGATCAGTATACACTGTATCTTTATGGATATATTGATCAGTATCACTGTATCTTTATGGGATTGATATTGATCAGTATAAGATAAGATAAGATAAGAGTATTCCTTATTTGTCCCACAATGGGGGAAATTCCGATGTTGCAGCCAGCAAAGTGGGTAGGAGAAAAAAAACAGTTATACAAACGTAAGAGTAGGAAAATAATAATAAAATAAAAGAAAGAAAAAGTAAGAATCTACAAACAGCCAAACAGATAACACAAAATAGTACCAAACACTAGCAGCAGCAGTGCAATGAGGCAAAAGATTGCACAGTGAAATTATTGCACATTGTTATTTGGTGGTGGGGGCGGGGGGCCTCGGATGTTAAACAGTCTGACAGCAGCAGGGAAGGGAAGGACCTACGAAATCTCTCCCTTCACACATTTGGGGTGAAAGGAGTCTGTCAGCTCCGAAGCGAGGGCTCTCAGGCTGCGTTGATGGTGTCCTGCATGGAAGGGACCTATATATGGAAGGGAAAGAAAGCGGAATTACTAATTATTTCGTTTTAGTGCGTGTCTCCTCGTAATTGGTTGAATCGTGTTCCAAGAGGCTGGCGACCAGCCTGGTGCACCAAACAAGGAAGCCCAAAGTCTAAACCACGGTTCTTTCCCGTACATATAGCTCCACCAATCACATTGTCCTGTAATAGATATAACCTCATGTAACCTTTGACAGGACTCTTTTTGGTGCGAGGAATCTATATCTATGCTAACCTGGTATTGATTATTGATCAGTATACGCTGGTATCTCATGGATCATGGATCATTGATCAGTATACACTGTATCTTCATGGATCCATGGATCATTGATCAGTATACACTGTTCTTTCATGGATTATTGATCAGTATACACTGTATCTTTATGGGATGATTACTTGATCAGTATACACTGCTATCTTTATGGAGATTTGATCAGTATACACTATCTTTTTGATATTATCAGTATACACTGTATCTTTATGGATTGATAATTGATCAGTATACACCTGTTATCTTTATGGGATGATATTGATCAGTATACACTGTATCTGTCATGGAATGATATTGATCGAGTATACACTGCTTCTTTATGGATGTTTTGACATTATACACTTATCCTTTATGGATGATATTGATCCTGTATGACAGCTTCAGACTGTGGACAATATGACGCCTTTAGCTCGGTGTTTCTATAGTTACGTGTTGTTACGAACCACGTTAGGAATTGCTTAAATGTGATATTTCTTAAAGGGAGGTTTGGGGTGCCAGGGAGCTTTTAGTTGATTCAGACTTGCTGATATGGATCATTGTAAACGTTTAGTCTCCACTACAGAAACACTAGCTAACTGATAAAGGCTGATCAGGGTTGTCTGATGTATTAGTTTGATTAATGTTTTTAATATATGGAGTATTGATTACTGACGTGGCTGAAGTCTTTCTTTCTGCTCTGGCTCTCAAGCTCCAGGTTCTGGAGGTGAAGTACATCCAAGGTGGCAGCGGGAGAGGATCCAGACCCTCCTCATCCCTACCAACAAAACTCTTCATTCATCACCGGTCCGGAGCCACTTCCTGAGCGAACGAAGAACAGCGTCCCCATCAACCAGGACCTCACACTGCTGGATCTTCAGTTCCCAGCTGAATGAACATCCAGACCAGCTTCCTGCAGATTGTTACCCCAATGTTATTCCAAACGCTGACGAGGTTTGGAGATTTAAATGTGGCTTTTATAGACGAGATTGGAGTCTCAGTGAAGCTCTTGTTGCTAAAACAGCTACTGTTTTAACGGGTATATTTTACATGAAATCTTGTGTCATTTATGATTATTAGTGTTTAATTAAAGTAATTACACATTTAACAAACAACCAAAGTTCTGTATTATTTGATTTTTCTATTTTAATCTGAATTAACAGTATTAACTTGAATTTGTTTTTATTTTGAACAATTAAAAAGAAGAATATTCTTGCGTCGTCTGTTGAACAAGGATAAAAAATCCTACATTAGATATTGGATCAGCATTCTGAGAGCTTATATCTTTCTACTGGGTATATTACAAATCTCTCTC